CCTGCTGGACTAGCCTGCCAGCCTCCTGCCCCAGCCTCACCTCCTCCGTTCCCTGCCCACCTATCTTCCCACAGCCCCACTCTTAACAGATCGCCCACCGCTCTGCTCAGAAACCTTCGACGGTTCCTGCTGGGGACAGAAGGAAGTCCAACCCCCCTTTCTGGGACTTTAAGGCCTCTTAAGATGCAGATCTCCCACTTTGTATCCCGGTCTGTGGGCTCCCTGAGCATCTAGACGTGCAGCCCCTTCGTTCCTGGGTGGTTCGCAGTAGCCCAGTCTCTCTCAGCCCACGGGTTTTTCAGCTCTTTGAGAGAAGGTCACACCCACTGTGGATCTCGGGTCCTGTGCTGTGCAAGGCCACTTCTAGACACCTTAAAAGAGGCTCAGGAAACACTTCTCAGATTCAGGTCCAACCCACATTTCTTGAACACCATCTCTGTGCCAGACACAATCAAATTTATGCTTTTAATTTTCACAGAAGTTTCAAAAAGTAGGTATTATTTTCTGCAATTTTTATTCGAGGAAATCAAGTTTCAGAAAGATTTGTTTGGCATCACCTGGCGAGCGGAGGGCATTCCTGGGAGTCACGGCCATCCTCTCTGCAGCCTGGGTGCCTCCTGCCCACTCTGTGAGGGTGAGGGAGGGGCTGGGTGCTGTGGGACCCGGCATGGAGGGAGGTGGTGGGGGGCTGTGTGCAGGCGGGGGTAGGACTGCCAGGTGGGGTGTGGTTAGGAGGGCGAATCCAGAACAAACGCCCCTGGGGGCTGAGTCTGATAAATGGTATCTACACAAGCCCACAGATAACATTGTACTTAATGGGCAAAGACTGAACGCTTCCCCCCAAAATGGGAAAAAGACAAGAATTCCCACTCTCACCACGCTACTGTTCGACATTGTACAGGTGGTTCTTGCCAAAGCAATTGAGGAAGAAAAAGAAATAAAAGGCATCCAGACTGGAAAGAGAGATGTAAAACTATCTCCATTTGCATGATCTTGAATATGGAAAATCCTAAGGCATCCACACACACACACACAAACTGTTAGATGAATAAGTGAGCTGAGCAATGTGACAGAACGCAAGATCAATATACAAAAATCTGTATTTGTATATGTTAGCAATGAACAATCTGAAAACCAAATTAGGAAAACAATTCTATTTACAGCAGCCTCAAAGAGAATCAAATCCTTAGGAATACATTTAACAAAAGAAATGTAAGACTTGTATGCTGAGAACTGCAAAGCAATATGGAAAGAAATTAAAGAAGATGGTAAATAAATGGAAAGATATTGTAAGACTTCCTGTTGTTAAGAGAGCAATACTTCTCAAGTTCCTCTGCAGATTCAGGGGAATCCTCATCAAAATCCCAGCTGGCTTTTGCAGAAATAAGCTGATCTGTGAGCTGATCTTAAAATTCATGTGGAAATACAGGAGACCCGGCACAGCTGAAACAATCTTCATAAAAGAATAAGGTTGTAAGACTCACACTGCCTGCCTTCAAGACGTACTGCAAAGCTACAGTGATCAAGGTGGGGTGGGACTGGCACAAGGACAGACAGACGTGCAATGGAGAATTCAGAAATAAACCTTCACATTTGTAAGACAATTCAGTGGGGAAAGAATAGTCTTCTCAACAAATGGTGTTGTGTCAAATGGATATCTATATGCAAAACACACATGCAAAAATTAACTCAGAATGAATAGGCTGAAACCACAAAATTCCTGTAAAAAATATAGGAGTAAATCTTTGTGCCCTGGGTTATGTGATGGTTTCTTAGCTATGACACTGAAAGCACAGGAAACAAAAGAAATAGGTAAATTGGACTTCATCAAAGTTAAAAATTTTTGTGCTTCAAAGGACACCATCAAAAAAGTGAAAAGATAACCCTAGAATGAGAGAAAACATTTTTAAATCATATATCTGACAAGTGACTGGTATCCAGAGTATATAAAGAACTCTTACAATTCAATAGTAAAGAGACAAATAATCAATTAAAAGACAGGCAAAGGATTTGGATAAACATTTCTCCAAAGAAGATATACAAATGGCCAGAAAGCACAGGAAAAGATGCTCAACATCATTAGTCATTAGAGAAACACAAATCAAAACCACAGTGAGCTGCCACTTCACCTCCACTGGGATGGCTGTGAACAAAAAGATGATAACAAGTGTTGTCCAGGATGTGCAGAATGTGGGACGCTCACCATTGCTGGCGGGGACATAAATTGGCGCGACCACTTTGGGATATAGTTTGGTGGTTTTTTAAAATGTCAAACACAGAGTTACCATATGACCCAGTGATCCACTTCTTTCATTACCCGAGAGAAATGAAAGCATATGTGCCCACATAGAACATCTACGTGGACGTTCATAGCAGCATTATTCATAATAGCCAAAAAATAGAAATAACCTAAATGTCCATAAATTGACGAAGAAAATGGGTTATCTATACAATGGAATATTATTTGGCAATAAAAAGAAATGAAATACTGGTATGGGCTACGACATGGATAAACCTTGAAGACATTATATGAGTGAGAGAAGCCAGACGCAAAGGCCACATATTGTGTGATTCCATTTATACGAAAAGTCCAGACCAGGGAAATCGATAGAGGCAGAAAGTAGGTTAGTGGTTGTCTAGGGCTGGGAGGGGGTGGGAATGGAGAATGACTGGTAATATGAGTATGGGGTTTCTTTTTGGGGTGGTGAAAATGTTCTAAAACTAGATTTTGGTAATGGTTGCGCAACTCTGTGTATATACTGAAAGCCACTGACCTGTACAGCTTCAATGGCTGAGTTATGTGGTATGTGAACTATATCTCAATAAAGCTCTCTTAAAGAAAGGCCGTGGGGATCCTGGACAGTATGAGGGGAGAGGGAGGTGGCAGAGGGCTCCGGACACTCATCTTTGTCTCGTGATGTGGCTGCTTGTAGTTCTCATCAAACTGGAGGGGAGTGTCAGCCGCCCAGAGGTGGACGTTCATTTCTCATTTCAAGACAAGCTTTAGAATCAAGGCTGTTTTATCTTGGTATATAGTAAGAGCTTAATAAATGCTTGCTGAGCGAGTGAAGATGCGTCTGCATCCACGCACTGGTCACCAGCTGTGCTCGAGGGTGAGAGCAGGCTCATAGTGAGGACTCAGGTTCCTAAAGGAAGGGATGGAACGTCAGAGCTCCCAAAATTTCTCCCCGAAGAACCCGGAGTGTAGAGGAGAATGAACTCATCCCTAACACGCAGGGAGGAAAGTCTTACTTTTACCTTGAAAATTCTTGTGTTGTTTGCATCCTACTCTGTAATATTTGTTTTAACAAAAAACTAATGCCGCAGATTGCCATTAAGTAAATCTGATGCTTCTAGGAGACGCGCTCTGTATTCTTATGACCGAACACACCTCGTGGTGCACACTGCTGTCAGCAAATATCTCCTGGGCACCACTGTGTGCTCGGCACAGAAGGACGCTGATGCCAACCCAGGATTTGTCCTCATGGGGCTTCTGGAGGAGGCCGCCCCCGACTTTGAGAAGCAGAAACAGCTCGGTGGAGAGGATAGGATTGGGGGCAGAGTTTGAAAACTCATGAGAACATTGCCTTAAATGAAGACCATCACAGTCCCATTTTTACTAGCAAAAACTTGGAAACCATCTAAATGTCTAACAGTGGAATGGTTAAACACATACGGAGGGGCCGGCCCCATGGCCGAGTGGTTAAGTTCTCGCGATCTGCTTCGGCGACCAGGGGTTTTGCTGGTTCAGATCCTGGGCACAGACGTGGCACCGCTCATCGGGCCATGTTGAGGCAGCGTCCCACATGCCACAACTAGAATATACAACTATGTACTGGGGGGATTTGGGGAGAAAAAGCGGAAAAAAAAAATGATTGGCAACAGTTGCCAGCTCAGGTGCCAATCCTTTAAAAAAAACATACGGAACTACCATGTAATGGGGTATATTTAGTTATTTAATAATAAACAAAATCTTTAATGATAAAGGAAAAGGCTTATGATAAAATTTTATGTTAAAAAAAAGGCAGAATGACAAGTGATATATAGTTTGGTCTCGACATGTGAAACACTCAGAGAAAATCCTGTTATAAATGCTCCAAAATGCTAACCTGAGTTCCCTCTGGACGGGAGAATCAAGGGGAATTTCTCTTGTCCTCTCTCTCCCTCATCCTGAATTTTCTGCAATAAGCCCAGATTACTTTTATTCTTCCTCTTATCACTGAATACCACCTATTTGAGTAGGAAAGCTAATGTGCAGCCGTACAGAGGGGCCGGGGCTGGAGATGAACTCAGGGTTGGGGGCTGAAGCCCAGCAGAGGACGTGGCTGAAGGTGTGCATGTGGCACCACCTCCCTAGACGGGAGACTGAAACAAACCCTGCGTGAGTGCTGAGGGGGCCGTGAAGAGAGAGAAGGTGGTTGAGGAGAGTTGTGGGGGGCTGGAGCCTGAGAGCGGGAATGTTAGGGCGACAGGTGGAGAATTCAGGCAGGGTGAAGCCATGGAGGTTAAGGGGCAGAGAGGCTCAAGAAGGAATCCTCAAGAGAGAAACCTTGCCTCCCTCCCAGACCGCGTGGTTGGGTTTAAATGAGATACGTGACTGCCATTAGGTTGACAGGCTTTGCAGTCAAGCCGACTGGTTCACACACCAGTTTCAGGACTATTAGCTAAGGGACCTGGGAAACTGGGCAGTCTCTCTGAACCTCCATTTTCACATCTGTTAAACCGGAGTAACAATCCGACGTCGGGGTACTGTTTGCACTGAATGAGATCATGCACGAAAATAGTTTGCACAGTGCCTGACACGTGTCTGTGCTAACTCGGTGATGGCTGTCATTATTGCTGTTATTATTCTTGTTAATATTAAGGGAAGTGTCTTTGAATGGTGAAGGGATTATTATGAACAGTCTTTAGCTCTTGAAAGAGCTTCTCCTGGTCTTTGGGGCAGACCTTTCTACACTCGGACCTCTGGGATGTTCATCCTGCTTCCCTCTCGTCCACAGCTGTCCCCTCCGCCACCATGAGGAGCATCTTCAAGAGGAACCAGGAGCCCATTGTGGCTCCTGCCACCACCACCGCCACAATGCCAGTCGGGCCCGTGGACAACTCCACCGAGAGTGGGGGTGCTGGGGAGAGCAAGAGCGACGTGTTTGCCCAGATGAAGGAGAAGTTCTTCAATGAGATGAACAAGATCCCCTGTGAGTGTCTCGGGGGCTGAGCGGGGGGCGAGGCTGGAGTTAGGAAGGGCCTTGTGCGCTGGGCTGGGCTGGGCTCTCCCCTAACGTTTAGATTCCAGGCTGGATTATCCGGGGAGCCTCTTCAGGAATGGGTGGGGGGCCTGTAGACTGGCACTAATGAAGGGAACAAGGGGGTTCATGTGCCCCAACCTCCCAGAGCTAAAAAGTTCTTATAACTTAGAAAACTGTCCAAAGATGCAACCAAAAGAAGATGAAAAATTATGAAACAGAAATCCTTCTTCGAGTTTTCCAGTCACACTTGAAATGACTTTATTTTGGAGAGTTGAAAATAAAAGCCCCACTGCTTTCTGAATTCCTGGTGAAGTCTGTGCGGGAGACACCAGGGATCCAGGTGAAGGGAGCCGCCACACGGGTGGGAGCTGGCGCTTCAGCACCACGGAGAGCAGCCCGGGGCCCATCCCCCAAAGATGGAGTCTCACAAAGCCCAGCCTTCTAGGTCCTTAAGGATCGTGGCCTCTGGCTCCGGTCACCCTCTCAAGGCTCTTTCTCCACTTGGGCCTGATAAGGACCCTCCCATCCTCTCCACCATGAGCTGGTTCTCCATAGATCGAACTGGTCAAAACTCAGTACAGCCAAGCTTCTCTCTTCGTCGTGGACCCTGGTCACTGTCTCTCAGGTAGCGGGCTGTGTCCACAAAGGCGGCCGACTAAAGGAAGAGCAAGCTCTTCAGGAAAAGGCACGCACAGCTATGCGGATTACATGCAAACCACTCATAGGCGGTGTTAAAAATGTGGAGTGTGGGCACTTGGGGGTTCAGAGTCTTCACCCATTTTTCCAATGCTGTGGGGTTGGGGGTGGCAAGGCACAGCACGGCTGACCCCGGTCTCCTCTCTGCGGGCAGTACCGCCCTGGGCACTGATTGCCATCGCCGTGGTCGCTGGCCTCCTGCTCCTCACCTGCTGCTTCTGCATCTGCAAGAAGTGCTGCTGCAAGAAGAAGAAGAACAAGAAGGAGAAGGGCAAGGGCATGAAGAACGCCATGAACATGAAGGACATGCGAGGCGGCCAGGTAGGGCTGGGGGGGGACGGGGCCAGGCCGAGGGGTCGGGTAGGGCTAGGGGGGGATGGGGCCAGGCCGAGGGGTCGGGTAGGGCTCACTGTGGGGGGGGACGGGGCCAGGCCGAGGGGTCGGGTAGGGCTCACTGCGGGGAGGGACGGGGCCAGGCCGAGGGGTCGGGTAGGGCTCACTGTGGGGAGGGACGGGGGCCGCCTTCCTGAGGCTGAAAGGTGAAGCAAAGGCCTCTCGTCTCTGCAGCCAAACTGCCCCCCTCTCCCTTAGAAGCCCACACACTCTCCCTGTTGGCTCCGTCTCTCGTGTAACCTATAAAGTCGTCTGCCCGTCACTGGTGGGCAGGGCACTTACTTAGGGTTTGCAGAGACTCATCCTTGAGAAGACAGGGGAGAGAACAATATGTTGACCCTGAAAGAGGCTGTTTGCACAAAGTGCTGGGAAGAGAGACCCTCACCCACCAGGAAGTCACCCCTGGAGTGCCCTGTTCTCCTGCCAGAGGGGACTGGGGAGCGATGCCTCACTGGGGGCATCCAGCCGGGGGTGCAGAGTTGGATGAGGTGGAAGAACGGTCCTGAGGCACCGAGACGGGGCCAGCGGAGTCCCTCTCGAGTCACATGAACACTCTGTTTCTTTACCCCTGTCTTTTGGGGTCGGTCAGCCTGCAAATGTCCCTGATACACAAGTGTCTCTTTGTGCGATTCAGAGGCCCCCGTGTGCTTCGTTTTCCCCACGTTGGTTCTGAAGAATCTCTTGCTCAAGGAATCAATATGGAGGATGGAAGGAGGGCCTGGTCTCAAGAAGTCAGCCAGGGCTCGCAGTGGCTTTGAGTACTTGTGCGTGTGTGCACATGCCTGTGTGTGTGTGAATGTTTGGGGGGCCCAGGAGGAACCTGCAGTGGGGTGGGGGCCCCAGAACCCCTTGGGTGCAGCCCAGGCTGCTCTCACCAAGTGGCTGTGATTCGGGCTGGGCGCAGCTGCAGGACTTTCTCTGACGTCACTTTCTTCCTTCTCTTCCCCTCTGCGGGCTCGCCCTGCTCCCGGTGCATCTGGACGGCTCTCCTGGTATGTCTGGCGGGGGGGTGGGGTGGGGGGGCGTCTGAACTGGGGGAGGCCTGGGGAGGGGGCTGACAGGGGACGCCTGCAGAGCATGTGGCGCCGTGCCTGGCCTCATAGTGCTGTGCCCGGCAGGGAGAGAGGCCCCCCAAAACTGGAGCCATGTCTTCCAAACACAGGCTGGGGCTCTGAGGGGCGGTGGGCACACAAGGCCGTTGGAGGGTCCCCAGGCCAGGCTGTGCTGTTCTCCTATCTTAGCCCGTCCCTCCTCGCCCCCAGCCCCCGCAGGACGATGATGACGCAGAGACGGGCCTGACGGAGGGAGAAGGGGAAGGAGAGGAGGAGAAGGAGCCGGAGAACCTGGGCAAGCTGCAGTTCTCCCTGGACTACGACTTCCAGGCCAACCAGGTGTGCGGGCGGGGCTGGGAGGGGCGGGGGGGGACGGGGGGGGGGGGGGGTGGGCAGCTGGGGGGAGGGGATGCAAACGGCTCCCCTGGGTCCTGTGGGCACCGCTGCTTTCCACCGAGCGGGGCAGCCTGGAAGCCACAGGGCGTGTGCCCCTGGACATCGACTCTGGACAGTGGCTGTGCTGTTCTCCTGCCTCCCACCTCTGGGTAGATCAGCTGCCTTCTCCACTTCAGTCTCCCCAAATGTCATCCCACTGCCTGGGACGGAGATGGAGACCTATCCCCGGCTCTAGCACCGGCTTGGCTCCCCAATCCCCAGCTGCCCAGCTCTGGGGCAGGATCGGTGGGTGCTGGTCCTGGGTCAGGTCCAGTGTTGGCACCGTCCTGAGACTCAGGTCCCTCCCTCTCTCTCCACAGCTCACCGTCGGTGTCCTGCAGGCTGCGGAATTGCCCGCCCTGGACATGGGGGGCACCTCAGACCCTTACGTCAAAGTCTTCCTCCTTCCAGACAAGAAGAAGAAATATGAGACCAAAGTCCACCGGAAAACCCTGAACCCTGCCTTCAATGAAACCTTCACCTTCAAGGTGAGGTGGCTGGGAGGGTGACGCCAGCGCCTCCCGGAGCCCAGGTCCTTAGCTGCTGCCGGGGCCCCGGAACTGGCTCAGTCGGGAACAACAGCAGGCCGGGCTGTGGGCCTCTGGAGCATTGGGACCCCCCTTCTCACCCTCTGCTTCCCCAGAGCCCGGGGCCTGCTCTTTACAGACGCATCGGGAGTCCTGCAGCCACGGGGTAGAGCCCGGGCCGGGAGCCTGTGCACGGCAGCCCGTGGAGGTGCACGAGTTGCTCTGACCTCTTCTGACCCCACTGTGCCCTGCAGGTGCCGTACCAGGAGCTGGGGGGCAAAACCCTGGTGATGGCCATCTACGACTTTGACCGCTTCTCCAAACACGACATCATCGGGGAGGTGAAGGTGCCCATGAACACGGTGGACCTGGGCCAGCCCATCGAGGAGTGGAGGGACCTGCAGGGCGGGGAGAAGGAGGAGGTGAGCCACCCGGCCCGGCAGGCGGATGGCAAACAGAGAGAGCCCGTGACTTTAGAGTCAGGCCACCAGGGTTGGGATCCCAGCTGAGTGACCCCAGGCACGTCCTTTATTCCCTTCTGTAGTCTCTGTCAGATAGGGAGACACTCTGGCGTCTGAGGGTCTGGCATCTGGTGGGTGTCAGCACCTCGCAGGCGCTGAGATAAGGGAGAACCATCGTCACTGTTACTCTTAAGAGTCTGCTGTCACTTAGGGCCAGTGATTCATGACTCAGTGCCTCAGTTTACCCACAAGGAAAGCCCACATTTAGTCTAAAGGATTCTCAGCATGTGGCTTGTCCTCCCAGCAACTGCTACAGCTTTCATTCACTTATTCATCTATTGAGCACCAACTGTGTACCAAATATTCCGTTGTAGCCACTGCCCCTTGCCAGCATCGGTCATCCGTCTCAGCCAAGCCGTGCTATGTGCCCAGCACAGGACCAGGCGGTGACGGAGGGGCGGGAATACACACTTAAGACGGCCTTCCCCTTGGGGCTCACGCCGTCTGGGAGGAAGGGTGGCACACCTGAACTGGGGTGTCGTGGGATGGTCAGTGTTGGCCCGAGGGGCCCGTCCCTGGGGAGCTTTCACCCTGTGGCCTGGTGTTGGCAGGGATCTCAGGTGCCCCCGGTGCTACATTGCTGTGGGACTTCCAGCAAGTCTCTGAACCTCAGTCTCCGGGTCACAAAGCATCCTCACTCCATCTACACAACAGTGGCAGTGACAGTGACATTAGGAAAGGGACGCGAAGGGCTTTAACAGCACAGGTCACTGCAGGTCGAGTGGCTGCAGGAGCCGCCTGGGTGGGGGGCGACGGGGGAGGCTCCGCGGCACGCAGTCTCCCGGCGCCCTCGGCTCCCTCTCCTCGTCCTCTCGCACCTGCCTGGGCCTGGGGCGGGAGCTGGACATACCCCACACCCGCCCGGATGCCCCCCTCCCCCAGCGTCACTGCCTGTCCTCTGCTCCACGCCTGTTGGCATCCCGAGGCCGCGGCCCCCGCGGGGCCACCAGTACCCTCAGGGCTTCGCTGACCTGAGCCCGAGGCCCGAGGTCAGATGCTGAGAGACCTCGACCACCACAGGCGTGGGGCCTGGGCCTTGCTAGTCCCCGCCAGACGGGGGTCAGCCATGCCGGAGGCAGGGGACAGCTCAGATGACCCAGGTCCCCCCTGTCCCCCATCAGCCGGAGAAGCTGGGCGACATCTGCACCTCCCTGCGCTACGTGCCCACGGCCGGGAAGCTCACCGTCTGCATCCTGGAGGCCAAGAACCTCAAGAAGATGGACGTGGGCGGCCTTTCAGGTGCGTGCAGGGCTGCCGGCTGCCGTTAGGTGGCAGCAGCGAGCCGGCCGCCGCCCGAGCCTGTCAGCAGGGACCTCCTGCGGGGGGCGGGGGGGGGGGGGGGGGGGGGGGGGGGGGGGGGGGCACGCAGGATGCCGCGGAGGGCGGCCGCGGAGCAGGGGCGGCCTAGTCTCTGAGGGCCCCCTGCCCCCCATTCCGGGCTGCCTGCTCCATGCTCTCTGGCTGCGCCCTAGGGGCCACGGAAGAAAGGATACGAGCATTTCACCCCCAGATGAGTCCGTGGCTGAGGGGTCCACTTCTCCGCGGAAGCGTAGGGAGTGGACAGGGCCCGTCCTTCCACACCCGGACACCTCGCCGCGAGAGGCTCTGCGGCTGACCCAGGGTGGGGAGCTGGCGGAAGGGAGCGCTCCGAGTGGGATTGGGCCCGGCCAGGGTTTCGGGGGACAATGGGGCACGCTGCCTCTGCTGTACCACCCTGAGAATCAGCCCTGGGTATGGGCTCCAGGTAGCAGTTCTTGCTGTAGCCCAGCTCTGTCACCCCCCCCCCAACCCCGCTCCCCGCGTGTGACCTCGGGGGGATGGTTTCTCGTGAGCAAGGTCAGGGGGACTGGATTGGCTCCGGGATGGCGGGTGCCTGCCATGCCTGCGGCCCTCCTCTGTCCACTGCCGAGGGCAGACACGCCGAAGCCACCCATGTTCCCTCTCACCAAGGCCCGACTCTGGCTCAGGAAGGTCCCCAGCATGGTGCTCCAGGCAGCCACACCCCCTCGGCCAGAGGTGGTCCCTGAGGCGACGCCTTTGTGCTGCTCCTGAACTAGATGCCCCCCGGCCGTCCTTGGACTCAGCGGCCTGGAGCTTCTGGGGGCCTGGGCTCCACGCGCGGGGGCTCCAGGCAGACGGTGCCTGCTCCAGGGGCGGGCGCTAAGGCTGCCCCTGTGGGCCTGGATTCCCTCCGTGCAGACCCCTACGTGAAGATCCACCTGATGCAGAACGGCAAGAGGCTCAAGAAGAAGAAGACGACGGTGAAGAAGAAGACCCTGAACCCGTACTTCAATGAGTCCTTCAGCTTTGAGATCCCCTTTGAGCAGATCCAGGTGCTCGGGCCGTGGGCCGCACGCGTGGGGCTCGGGAGGGGGAACGGCTTGCGGTGGGGGCCTGGGCTCCACATGCTGCCTGGGCTCCTTCCCAGGGCCTCTGCCAAGCCCCCGCTTTTCTGGGGAGACCACGAACTATCCCGAACAATCCTGCCAGTCACTCCTTTAGGACACGGAGGTACGCGGTGGTGCGGGAGCACCGCTGCCCCATCCGGCTCCTGAGGCCTGCTCCCTGCTACCCATCATCCTTCCCTCCTCCCTCATCCTTCCCTCCTTCTCCCTCATCCTTCCCTTCTTCTCCCTCATCCTTCCCTCCTTCTCCCTCATCCTTCCCTCCTTCTCCCTCATCCTTCCCTCCTCCCTCATACTTCCCTCCTTCTCCCTCATCCTTCCCTTCTTCTCCCTCATCCTTCCCTCCTTCTCCTCCCTCATCCTTCCCTCCTTCTCCCTGCATCCTTCCCTTCTTCGCCCTCCATGCTTCTGTCCTCCCACCAGCACTTCTGTGAGTTGGGGTGAGTTGAGGTGGGGTCCTCTTGGCATGAGTGGATCTGAACCTGCAGGACAATATGCCTGGTGGCCGTCTGGGCAGGGAGTCACGGTGATGGGTGGAGGATCCCCTTGGAGCCTTGGTCTCTCCCTCTTGTGGTGAGCTGCCCCCTCCTCCCCTTCTGTTCCCCAGGAGGGCTGTGGGGCACGGGTGCTGAGGGGATCTTCAGGGTTCGTGCTGTCATCTGTAGAGAATTCTTGAAGGGAGCAGTGTTTCCCTTGAAGGCTCAGCGATAATGTTGGGCCAAGAAAAGTCCTGGTTATGGAGAACTTAAGACAGACGTGAAGGGTACTGGCCTGGGCATGTCAGCTTGGAACATCCCTAAAACCAATGCACTGATCTTCTCTCAGTCCCCGCCCAGCCAAACCGGCTCTGTCTGAACTCTGTTTCCAATGAATGGTCTCACCATCCACGCAGCTGCCCGAGTCAGCACCGGGGCGACATCTTAGACCTCGCCCCCCCCCCCCCGCCCTTTGTCCTTTCTTGTTTATCAAGACGCTCTGCTCAGCATTTCCTAATGCTGAGTGCTGAGAGACAGATGTGTCAGTCACGGCCCTTGCTCTCAAGGACCTCGCGGTCAGGAGGGGGAGCGGTGAACACCGTGGTGCAGGGAGCAGAGGACTGTGGCCAGTTCAGGCGAGGCTTCCGGAGTGAGCTTGATCCTAAGGGATGAGACTGAATTGGCTGCATCCAGGAGGGAGAAGGGTGCTGACTGTCCCCTTGGCCAGTGCAGCTGATGACCAAGTCCTCTTGGTTCTGCCCTGATCACCTCTCCCGTCTGGCCCCTGCTTCCCCTGCTGTGGTTCAGGAATTCGGTGCCCGTCCTCCTAGTGCCCTGCCCCGGCCTGTCTCCCGGCCGTTGGTCCCTCCGCCTCCCTGCATCTTCCACCTCCATGCCAGGTCCTGTTCTGAAGTATCTGTGCCCTCTCCCTCTCTGAAGCCTTCAGCACGCCCCACCGCGGGCCTGAAGGAGAAAGTACACACTCCTTAGCTGACCCCAGCCCACCCTCCCGGCCTCACTTGTGCTTCATGGCTTCTCAGCTCTCAGTAACACTGGACCCGCACTCACGTGTCTATGCCTCTGCCCAGGCCAGTCTTCCTTCCTGGATCCTCTTCTCTCCACCTGGAGAAACCCTCAGCCTGTACCTCCCAGTTCACATGTCACCTCTTCCCTGAAGCCTTTCCTGATAGACCCGGGCGGGATTGTCACTTCCTCTCAGTTCCCATAATACCTGTGCTTACCTCCCTAGCACAACCTTTATCTTTTGTTTTGTAAGTTTTTGAATATGTGTCCACTGCTTCCCTTAGAGGGAAATTCATCTTCTCGCTTCCTCACTGCCCTCCGCTCCTGAGCGCTCAGCACGGAGCCCGGAGAACAGTCCATGCGCGGTAAACGCCAGTTGGTAGAAACGAGGTTGTTCTGAAAGGCGTGGCCTCTGCCTCCCGTGGGTTGAGGCTTCGTCGGAGCCAGAGGTGGAGGCAGGGAGCCCCGGAGGAGAGGCTGAGGGAGGGGAGGTTTGGTCACAGGACCCTGTCTTCACCTGCTGACTCCCTCCCTCCCTTGTCGCCCCGCAGAAGGTCCAGGTGGTGGTCACCGTGCTGGACTATGACAAGCTGGGCAAGAACGAAGCCATTGGCAAGATCTTTGTGGGCAGCAACGCCACGGGCACAGAGCTGCGGCACTGGTCCGACATGCTGGCCAACCCCCGGAGGCCCATCGCCCAGTGGCACTCCCTCAAGCCTGAGGAGGAGGTGGACGCGCTTCTGGGCAAGAACAAGTAGGCAGGACACCGGCACAGACACGGACGAGATCAGAGCTATCAATACCTCAGTTGTGCAACCGTAGAGGTTTCCTTTCTCATTTGTTGTGGTTGTTCCTTGTTTTTCCTTCCTTTTTCTCTTTTTAAAGACAAACTTCCCTTTGATGGCTGTGTGAGGAGAGTCCCCTAAGAGGTGAAAGAGAAGCCTGGCTCTTGTCATCGCCACGGGAGCTGTCCTTGCTGCATGCCCCATCAGGTTCCCCTCGTCCTTTTGAAGCTTCACTGAAGCCTCACCCTGAGTGAAGCCCTCTTTTGGCAGAAAGTCACAGCACTTCCTGTGCTTTGAATGTTCTGGACCAACAAAATGGCAGCACTTCCTGTTTCCTGGCAGGAAGGGCGACACAGTGGCCAGTGATCCGCATGCATGTGTGTTTGTGTGTGTGTGTGTGTGTGTGTGTGTGAGCATCTCTCTGCACCCCTGGAATGAGCCAAGGACAGAGAAGTTGTGTCCCCAAAGAGAAGGCTCTTCGGGGGCCCTGACATGAAGAGAAGGCCACTGTCGGAGTGGGAGATCTTCTGTCAACTTGTGGAGAGAGCTGAGTCCTGCTCAGATGCCAGGAGCTCCTGTGCTCCTCATGGGGGCTATTTGGGAGGCAAGATGTGGTGCCTGGATTTGTCCAGAACTAGGACCAAACCCCTGATGCCACCATAGACGTCCTCCTTTCAGTCATGGTTTCCCCACAAGTATGGCTCCAGGACATTTGTGGATGTGAACTAGTCACTAGGTTGGTCAGACTTTAACAGGAACTGTCAGTCCTGGGACCTCCCTCTTGTTGACAGTTAAATCAAACTATGAAGAAACAGAAGACCCCACCACCCAGAAAGACCAAAATGAATCTGCTGGGTCTTCGCCCCTTCCAGTGGGAAACACAGACGCTTTCTCCCTTTCCAGAATGTAAGCATTTCTTTCCCATCGTGCTTTCGCTTCTGTTTCCTCTTTTAATCTAAGTGGATCAACGCTGTCTGAAGACACGTTATCTGTACAGAGCCAGAGAACTTTAGAAGGAAGGTTTAAATGTTCTTAGTTCTCCTGAGGTCCAGGTAAGAAGGGGGAGGACGCGGCCAGATGGCAGAGACTTCCTGGGTGAGCTAGAGGGGAGCCCTGAGATCCGCAGCTCCCGCTCCTCTGCCCTCCATGCCAGCTGGAAGGAGGCCCCACCCCAGCACTCTGTAGGAGGCCTCCCTCTCTGAATCCCAAGAAGCAGGGCATCCGTTCCAAACGGGTGACGGAGGACGCCTGCTGGGCTTTCTACCCTGTGCTCAGTTGTGTCCCATTCCCTGTTCACCTTTCAGCCCCAGCATTGATAAAAAGCCATATATGTGTTAGTCAAGTTTGCACTGAGTCCCCCTCCAAACCTTCAGCCTGGGCAAGAGAGTCAGCCCCACATGGTCAGAGGCCAGCCCCTCTTCCTGTGGCCCGTTCCTCCCGTTCCTGCATCCCGTCCTTCAGCCTCTCTCTTCCATCCTTGGAGCCCTCAGCCCCCTGCCATTTCTTCACCTCGGAATTCTCACGGCTTCCCGAGAAGCCTGGAGATCTCTCCCTTTCCCAGCAAAAATGGTGGCACTTCCTGTCCTGCCCCATCTGGGCCACCTCAGCTTCCTGTAGGCACCTGACACAGAGGGACAGTGTTGGAGAGAATCAGGCTTTGAGGATCCAGCATGGAGAAGGTGCACAGTGTGTTTTTATTTCACTAAAAGAAAGGAGATGGGTTTTTTGTGTTTGCTTTGCCATGTTTTTTGGCTGGAGTGGCGGTGAGGGAGCCCCTCTGCTAGACACAGACTGGGAGGCAGGGCCCAGCCTGGCTCCTCTCTCAGAGACCCTTCTCCTTCTTGCTGGTGGCCCTGGGCTCCGGAGAAGCTATTTTCTGTGGACACTGTGTGTGTGTGTGTATTTGATGGTGAGAAGGTAGGGCTCTGACAAGGACCATGTGCTTTGCTCCCTGGGACCAGAGCTGTGGTCATGGGGGAGGTTGTAGGACAATAGGGTGCCTTCAGAATCTGGGTGACTACAGAGTAGGACATCCTGGTATGGATGTCAGAAGTCACTGGACTCTTCTCCCATCCCCAGAGCTGTGGGATTTTGGTGCTTTCTCAGGTTCTCTCTCCCCACACTCATTCTCCTCACCATACCCCACACCCCTTGTTCATAGACCCTCCCTGTCAGTCTCACCCCCTCCAGCTTCATTCTTTTGCCCTTTCCCAATCCACCTATCACCCGGGGTTCTTCTCTGCCCGTGAACCTCGTTCGGCCCGTCTGGAGCCCAGGATTTGCCACTCTTCTGACAGGAAGGAAAGGAAATGGTAGGCACCTCTGGTGGTTGGATGTCCACATGCCTGGAGACAGGAGCTGGATTCTGTTACTCTGGGCCCCCCTCTGGTGAGCAGTCTTGAGGGTGGGGACAGGTTGGGAGGAACTGAGTGTTGGCACTAGTATAGAGCCAGGGAGATACCTGAGTGTGAGGAGGTTCTGGCTGGTCCTGGGATGGGACCTTGGCCCAGATGAGCCACGCTAGCAGAAGGCATCCATCCAGGTCCACGAGCTAGGCAAGGCCACACTTATGCTTGGATGTTTCCTCCACCTGAGGGCTGATTTACCCAAACCACTGAGCATCCCGTGAACCCTCACTGCCATGCAGGTTGGGGTGCTGGGGTGTAGGCCCTGAGAAGGATAGTTAGGGTCTGGCTAGTGAGGGGCTCTGGAGGCCTCTGGGGCTGTGAGTTCTCACTCTCAAAGTCTATTCCAGAGAGAGGAAGGTGGTATAGACGTGACTTTTTACAAAGAGACTGAGGCTATGAAAACCCAAACGAATCCCACCGAGAAATGGGGGGTGAGACCAGGAAGCTGCCTTCTCCTTGCTCCTTGAATGACTGTTCCAGAAGGGAAACCGACTGCCAGAGCCACAGGCGGGTTCTTGGACTGTGGAAGTGGAAGCTGAGGCTGGGGCAGGCTGTGGAAAGAGCACTGGGGCAGCCGGGACAGTGTATGAGTGGACCCTCAGCTGGGGATGGGGCCACAGGGATGAGACCTCAGTCTCAGGCCCTGGCCATGTCCTCCCGGGAACCACACGTAGCTTGTGTTTCTGCAGACGCAGTTTGGGCTGATTTGCTGGCCCAGGGCTCCAGCGAGAGAGAAGACAAGTAAAACCCGCTGTGGACCTGCCTCCGTGAGGGGGCGTGTGCAATGAGCAGAGGGGTTGAGAAGCCCCCCATGGTCGGGAGTGAGCGAGCTCATGTCCCTTGATGTCCTCACCCACCCTTAGAGACAGACATAGTCGCTGCCCGGAAAGGGAGGAAGAGATTGAGCCAGGAGCTGCCCTCCGACCCTCTGTGCTGTCCCCACTTCAGCCTCAGGCTGGGGGCCTTTTCTCAGGGCCCTGGGTGGTGGCAGATGGGGGCGAGACCCAAGACCTGATCTTGGTGGCCCAGAGCCCCATGTCATGGCTGCCAGATTGACAAATAGGAATGCGGGATGCCAGTGAAATCTGAATTTCAGATAAACAGCACATAATTTTAAAGAATAGTGAGTCCCAGGCGACGTGTGGGACATTCTGTACTAAAAGGACTGTTGTTTACCTGAAATTCAAGTGGAACCGACCATCCTGGGTTTCCTCTGGCAAGCCTGTCCTACCGGCCACTTCTGCCTACTCCCCCTCAGTCGCAGGGGGCCGGAGACGGGACACCAGGATTTTACTTAACCTGTTTTTTGGGCTGCAATATCGAGGAGGGGACACTGTGACTTGAAGACACATGAAGATACTTTATTTTTTAAGCAACAAAAAAACAAGAACCTTCTGAAGCCATTTGAGCCTCATCCGACCCCTCCCTGTGTGTTTAGTTATAGACAAGTGAAGGCAGTTCTCTATAAACACACGAACCCGATCGTGCTGACTCGAGATGCATGTCTCTAACTTCTGTAAATAGCCGCATGGCAATGCTCAGAGTGCCCTACTCCCCAGCCCCAAACCCATTTTACACAACTCTTGAGGCTGCTCCTTCGATTTTTTGTCGTGTAAAGTCTTTGTCCCTCAGCCCCACCCCAGCCTCACCCCATCGGGACCCACCGTGGGAGCCCTTGGCTGAGGGGAGTGGGTTTCCGGCTCGGACGCCAGCCCTGCCGTTGGGGATGCTTGAGGACCGCTGGCGCCCTGAAGGCCAGTCCCCATCTTCTGCCGTCCGTCCGTCTGCAGAGTCGACCTTCGGTGCACCGCGCGGTGTCCAGCCTGGCGTCTGGTGTCCCGGTAGCTTCTGTGTCCTGTGTGTGTGTGTGGTGTGCCCCTTCCTCACACTGTTTGAATTAACTGAAAAGCCATAAAGGGGCCTCCTGCTGGAGATGGCCCTCGGGTCCTGCCAGGATCCCCCACTCCCTCTGACTGGCTCCCCACAGAACACTCGTGAAGGGCTCACCTGTCACCTCTCCTGCTCCCTCAGCCCCATGTCCTGAGGACGGTGGCGTCCAGGGCTTCTGGTGGGGCCTCAGGAGATGTCCCCGGCTGGCCCTGCCCAAGTGGGCTCCCTCCACAACTCCTTCTCCAGCCTCTGTGGACGGGGCGATGGTGGGGCCCCCACCTTCAGAGACCTTTCCTGGGGGCCCTGTGGAAGTGACCCCGATTTTCAGGAGCAGCCAGGCGCAGCTCAGCCTGTGGCCAGGCCCTTTCCCCCCTGGGGCTGACAGAACAGCTCGCTGACCTAACACTATGGGGCCAGGGATTGTGGGTGGCAGTGGGGGCTCCTGGGGGAGCTGGGGGCACGGTGGGTGGAGCTCTCCCTGCAGCGTCATCCTGCAGTCTGACAGAGAGCACCCCAAGGGCGGGTGGGGGCTGCTTGGCTCCTCCAAGGGCGGGGGTCAGGAGCCTCAGGGCAGAGACACCCGCAGGCCCTCCTGTGGCTCCCAGAGCAGCCCCAGTGAGGCACGGCCCGCCGTGGTCGAGAGGTGGGGAGGGGGTAGCTGGGGCTCCCAAGGTCCCAAGTCATCGTATGGAACCAACAGGGAAGAGCAGCTCCCAGCCCGCAGCCGCTGGCAGCCGAGTGGGAACGACCCAGGAGGCCTCGGGCACGGCAAGGGTGGTGAGCACGAGGAAGGAGGGACGCGAGGGCAGGGTGTGCCCGACAGGCCGAGCGGCGAGGTGGGCTCTGCCCTTATGAGCCGCGACGCAGGAGCACATGGAAGCCCCAGTGATCTTTGTGCCGCGCCGCAGAAGGGGGAGGCAGAGGGACCGGCGCGCGGGCTGGCATCAGGTGCTTACAGGGCTGGGAGATGCTGTCCTCCCTCCAGCTCTCTGGGACCCCCCCGTCCACACCCCCGGCAGAGACAGCCACGAGGCGAGAGCTGCGGTCCTGGCTGGTGAGCACGGAGCAGGTGCCGGGCTGGGGTGCTCCATCCGCCCTCCTCACCGTCAGGGCTCCTCCCGTCTGAGGCCTGGACTTGCTGCTTTCTGGAATCCCTGAGATCTGAAATCTTCAAAGCCAGGTCACCCCCGGTTGCACGCCCCACCAGGAGCCCTGCCTCTGTCTTCGTGGGAAGGACACACGTGCAGGCCTCCCTGCCCCGCCCCCTATGCTTGGCAATGCGCTCCCGCCCCTCATGTGGACTCTGTTGCTCTTGTCTGATGTCTTGTCGAATTGTTATTTTGTAATGAGCTGCGTCTCCTTATTAAAGAAATGAGCTGAAAGAAATCCGGGGGCGGGGGGCGTCTCTGGTTGTGGGGGCTGGGCTGGGGGAGGGACAGGCAGGAGGGTCAGCATGGTGGGTGAGGGGGGCGGCTGGCTCTGAGGCTCTGGCCTCACAAGGGGCCTGAGGCCAATCCTCTTCTTGGGGTGGGGAGACCAGACGGGCACGCATCCCCATGTGCTTCTCTGGGGCATGGGCGGTGGTGCTGGGAGCGTCCTCTGGGAGGCTGGGGGTGGACCAGCTTCTTGAGTCCTCCAGTAGAGCTGGGCCACGGAACGGCCAGCGTCTGAGCCCAGGGATGGGGAGGCTGGCCGGGGGTACGGCAGTTTGACAAGTGAGAATTTCTGCAAAGTCCTCAGTTGCCCCACTGCAACCACCTTCGAATATCTTTGACTTCTGAGGAGAGACGTTAGGGCGTCAGCATTTTTAAGGAAAGAGAAAGTGGGGCAGCGTTGCCCCCGAGACGGGGAAGGGTTCGACTCCTTTCCCAGTTCCCAGCCCAGCCTGTGGACCTGCCTCCTCGCGTGGGACAGGCAAGCGCTGCCGCTTTGTGAGCGTGGCACCGGCTGTGAGGTCCCAGCAGCGCTGGATGGCGGCCCTCAGGGAAGGCAGGGCGGATCCTGCAGCTTTAGCCCCTCAGCAGGGCGGCTGGGGGCCGTGTAAGGACCGGGATGTAGCAGGGGTCTCTCCACTGAGGGCTCATCCTCTCAGGGGAGGCTGGGCCACACGGCCCTAGGTGACACTGTCTTGCGGACCTCCCCAGGTCCAGCGGGGCACGGAAGGAGAGAGGATGCTCTGGGAGCCTCGCATCAGCCGTGCTGCTTTGTGCTTTGGGCCCCAGGACAGGTCTGAACTCTTCAACCGTGACATCATGTGTGTTTGTTCTGCCGCTGCTCCGGCTACAGGCAGCGGGGTGACAGCAGGGGGAAAGAATCTCCCCTCCCTGACCTCCCTCTGCTCGCACCGTCGGTGACCGGGGATTTCCGCTTGGCGGAGAGCAGGGCTGAGCAAAGCAGGCAGGGCCTGCTGGAGGGAGAAACCAGCCTGAACCTCGGCCGAGTGAGTCGGACCTGGCCGCCCTGCTGCAGACGTGCCAGCGGCCGAGTGGCCTCCTCCCTGGGCGGGGCTCTCGCTGGTTAACCTCCAATAACCCCGAGTTAGCTGCCTTCAGAGCTGGGAGCTGCAGAGCACTTTCGGCAATCGCGAGTCAAACTTGACCTGGTGGAGCCCATGTGTATACAGCAGAGGGCCGAGGGGCGCCAGGAGCCCAGGGGAACCCCCACCTCTCTGGACCTTAACCTCCCACGTAGGAGAGTGTCACGGTGTTCATCAGTGTCCCTCCAGATGGGCACAACTGGTCACTGGGACCTGCTCTGTCTTCAGGGAAACGACCATACTCCTAGCCACTTGAAACTGGGGACCTGGACTCCTTCTTAGGGTCTCTTGAACCCCCAGTCTAGCCTTCTCCTTGGCCTGGCTCGAGACGCTGTTCTTGACGACGGTGACGCTCCTGTGGCTGTCCCTGGGGCAACGGCAGGAGGGCGAAGCCCCAAAGGCAGAGAGGACGTAAAATTGCAGGAGGCCGCCCGGACGTAAGACGCTCTAAATCCCACTTCCTGAACTGAGAAGACACAGTCACAAAGTTAAAACACCGTTTTATTTACTCATTTATAAATACTGTTGTGTTTACAGGCATCGTATAGATGTGAATATTATTATTCCCAAACTTTCAAACACAGAATACTTAATACTATATAATAACAACCAGTAAAACAAAATCATTCATGTCAGGGTTGAAAGGCCACTGAAAATTGCATAAAAATACATTCAGTTCACAAAGCGAATCCGGCCCCCTCCCTGAACGCCCTCACCCCGCCCAGGTGTATTTACATCGGACCAAGTCGCTCCACACACCTCAGCTGAGACCACTTACATCCACTGCTCTAACTGTGGAAGGAAGGCTGGGTGAAGGGTGGAGGCGGGAGAAGACACAAATGCCACCCCTGGAACGGGAGCGCTGGGGCCTGGCTGGCTCCGTGAGCTCTTTTTGCCCCTGACGGTCCAGGTCACGGCAGAGGGAACAGAAAGGAGGACACCATGCAGCCTGAGTCTGAGCCGCCAGGGAGGATGGGCTGTACCTCCTGCCCCCCGGCGGGAAGGCCAGGTGAACATCGCCTTCCCTCTTTGGGGCGATGATGGCCCTACTTGGGGTGCTGGCAGGTGGTAGCCCCAGGCTTTCAAGGGCTCACAGGATGCTGGCCACAAGAGGGGATCGTGGATGCTGCCTGCTCCCAGAACCATTCTGAGCCCTGCAGCCGACCTCCCAGTGTTCTGTGCCTGAGCCCCTCGTGTCCTTCCTCTGACTGCTCGCCATCTGGCCTCTCCTCCCGAGAGGACAAGCTGGGATCTGTCCCCCGGTTCAGGGAGTGGGGAAGAAAAGGCAAGGGCAGAGATGCTCAGGCAGAGTCCAGCAAGTGCTGGCCTGGTATGCCCCTTGTTCAGGATCCGCGCTCATCCCCAGTTCTGGTTTTGTGGGGACAGTGGAGGTTTTGAGAGCCTCTGCACAGTCTGTGCGCCTTTCCTGCATCCTCTCCTGCAAAGCAGCAATGGGCCGAGCGGCTGTCCCCAGGTGCACACACACTGTCCAGGTTTCTGTCCAAGGAGACAGTCTCCAGCTAACAGTCAAGCCTCTCAGGACAAGACTGAGCAAGCCAGACAGGGCTGCCCATGGTCTCCCAGGCCGGCCAGCCCACGGGGCAGCCCATCCTCATCCCCGAGGCAGTCGGCACAGCCAGGGAGCTCGGGAGCTGGAAGAGGGGGTGGTGGTGCTGGCTGGAACTCCTCCAGGAATCCGGCTGGTTCATGGAGAGCCTCCTCCCCAAGCACCGTCAGTTCCAAGTGAGAAGAGGAAGAATGTGGAGGGAGATGAGGGGGGAAGGACTGAGAGTACCCTGACTCACTCACCTTGAAGGCCACCCAAGAAAATGTTTACTGGAAGCATTAGGGAAAAATTTGGAGAAATAACGGAAAACATCACTCTGGCAGATTCACAGTCCAAAATGATAAGCAGATGAATTAGAGAATGGCTCAGAGTCTTTCAGGGGACTGGAGGGAGGGCAAAAAGCAAAAGATATGAGTTAACAGGATAATCCACTTGGATAAAACTGGTTAACCAGGCATACGCCAGAGTTCATGCTGAAAGCTCCGTGCTAGCTCATGTGCATGCGTATGCACACAGGCTAGAGGCAGGAGTAATCCCCAAACCGTGAGACCTTTTAAGGTGCCATCAGAACATTCAGCAAGGGGTTCTGTCTTTAGACACACCGCTTATTCCCTACAGTTCTTCCCAAGGAGGGGCTGCTGGACCCTGGGTTACAAGCCACTCCCAGGTTCGATTCTGACCCTCAACCACAACTCTGAGAAGGGAGGGCCTCTGCTTTTACCACGCAGCTGCTGGCGGGCTGGTCAAGATTTCCTATTTGGCTTTTCTCGGCCCCCAGAGACCACCTCATTCTCTAGCAGCTGTGACAATGACAGTTCCTGGGCTGCAATGAAGTTGATCCATTTTCCAATCTCATCAGAACGCAGGCGATCAATAGCTGTCCTCGACAGGGCCTGCTGCTCCGAGCACTGTCAATGCCCATTAGGGAAGCTGATCGTCATCTCCACTCAGCCGGAGGCTGTGGGCTGCGGGCGCCGGGAGACAGCACTCACTGCCCTTGTGCAGCTCTGCCTTGCCCTGAGCCCCCTCGTCCCAGGGCCTGCAGTGCCCATCCCGCACCACGTCCAGGGCCCCAGCCTTCTGCCTCCTCCCACCACAGCGTGCAGGCCGCCTCCGCCTCAGGGCTCTGAGCTTTCCTTCCATTCACACCTGGTCCTGCGAGAGCTGAGTGCTGTTCTGCGAGATACGGTGTGTGGACTCGGGGTGTGTAAACACTCACTGCATGCAGGCCCGCTTCAAGGTCAGCATCAGAACCTCCCACTTCTGCCAGTCGAGTCCCGGGCAGGAGCTCAGTGGAACTAAGGTGGAGGAGTTTATGGAGGACCATCCTCTTGCTGCTCTCTGGCAGAGTTTGAGACCAGGAGCCCGCTGCAGCCACACAGCAGTGCCGTCGGTCTGCCGTCTGGGTGCTGAGAGCCACAGAGACCACATCCGAGGCGGCGGAGAGGCAGCTGAGAGAATCCAGGCAGCAGCAGCTCCGTTTCCCATTAAGCCGTTTGTCCAGAGGCTGCTTCCCAGCCATCTGCCTGCGAGCTCCCGTTTCCACCTCTGCAGGTTTAATGTTCTTCCCCAGCCATCAGGACAGAGGACACTTGTAACACCATTCAGTTACCCTCAATATGAAATTCCCTTTCCAGCAAGGATGAGACTCATCCGTGACATGCTGACGTTAAACAGTGAATCCAGGAGAAAACAAGAAAATCTGAAGTTAGAAACAGCAAAGATTCTGAGTTTAAGAAATGTTCTGATCTTCCTGGGAACAAATCAATCATAGAATTCTGCATCTAGATGGGATCTTCAGGATTGTCCAGTCCAGCCTCGCTTCACAGACGGGAGGTGCCCTTCCCAAGGTCACAGGCTGACGAGGATGAGCGCCGGCCCTGGACCCAGATGTCGGCCTCCCAGGTCTGCTTTCACGCAGCTTACTCTGCCTTCAAAGCTGTCTTGCTTATTTGGTCAGAGGACTCGCATCCTTTGAGGGGTCGAAACCTGCCTTAAAAGTCAGTATGGAGCTCAAGACCCGTGGCTCTAAGTGGGCCTGGAATTGGGCAGGGGCCACCCTCGACTGATGACTGTGTCTAGAGCTGGCTGCAGTGCTGGCATGAACACCCGACAGCGCCTTGGAGGGAGGGACACCAGCACCCAGGCAGTGTGATCTCATTGGGAAGCTCCAGCAGAACCAGGGCTCAGCAGTGGGTGGAACCAGGAATCCCCCTTCCTCTCAGCAGCTGCTGAGTCCTTGAGGCTTTCCCTTTTGAGGTGCAAAGCAGCGTGGAGGCTGAATAACTGGCGACACTTTAAATAGTTCTTTCTTCTCCAGGCTGCTTCTGCTCGCCTCGACTTGCCTAGTACCCACCTCAGGACCCCCTTCTGCGTCAGTGGCCTGGACTGAAACATGGGCCTTTCTGAGAGGAGACAGTGTCTGGTAGGAGAGGCTGCCCCGGGCCAGAAATCCAGAGATGGAACCAATGCATGGCTTTGAGAGTTCCTGCTTCTCTCAACTCTGGCTCCGCTAAACGCCCCTGGGAGGGCAGCAGTCAGCAGCCCACACACACGGGTGGGATCCCCAGGCTCAGCGCATGTTTTGTTTAGGGCAGGGAAGTGGGTAAAATGATCCAAAACAGAGATCTGGAGAGAAAGACACAGAGGTGGGGGGGGGGGTGTCCAGGAATGTCGCCTGAGGCTGCCCAGCAGGGAAGTCAGGGCAGGAATGAGCCCGGGCACGTCTGCTCTTCAGACTCCTTAGAGGCCACACCCCAAGGTGTGCACAGCCCCTGCGCGGGGGGTTGGAGTCTTCATGCCCCAGAGCGCTCTGGAAAAGGATGAGCAGCCCCCGAAAGACAAGCAGGTGGAGTGGCAAAGCTTCAGCCAGAGAATCTCTGGAATTGCCCAACCACTCCTCCCAAAGGTGGGGCTTGTTTTGAAAAATACCAAGTTAATGAGAACAGACGTGTGAAGCTGTACTGGGAACCTTGTCTTCCTCATTCTGCTACTTCCTGTAAAGACTCCAAAGTGACACAGCTGAGCCCCAAAGTACTGGCCGGACAGGCAGCATCCCTGCAGCTGAGCCCCCGAGCAGCAGGTGGGGACTGGGGGATGGCCACTGAGGAGACCGACAGCACCGGGGGGAGACCTGCAGAGGCCAGCGCCCGAGAGCACAGCGGGCTGCCAGGTCCACAGCCGTCACCTCATGGGGCTCCAGTCAACACAGTGTGAAGACACGGTGTTTTATTCTCTGGACAGAGACCAGAATTCAGTCTCTCCGCCTAACAGAATCAATTGCATAAGAGAAAGTGCCTAGATTACTTTTCCTGAGAAAGAGTCAGCAACCGCCCCCTCCCTTCTCCAACACCCAGCATGTGCCAGGAGAACCCATCAGTCAACGCCTTGTGTTGACCCCCCCTCCCTAGAACGAAGGAAATGCTTGTGGTGGAGGATAGAGACCTCTTACTGTAAGCTGGCATTCCCTGAGATCTGAGCTCCACAGTCGGCCCAAGACAGTACAAAATCCTAATCGAGGAGCTTCTCCGGGAAAATCGTTGGAAACGGAGGAGAGAATTTTGTACACTGTAAAAATGGGGTTTCGCCGAGGAGACATACTTCCTATCCTGGAATTGGGATCCTGAATTATAGCTCCCGGTTTAAAGACCATGTGATGTGGCAGACGGCCAAGAGAGCTATACTGTCATTTTCTGGAAAGAAACAGAAAGTGGACAGAGGTGTTGTATGTTAAGAGAATGGACCACTCCAGCCTGAAGATCACTGGCAACACTAAAAGGAGGAAGATTTAAATGACCTGCACACTCAAAATAAACCAAACAAGGGAGAAAACGCCTATAAAAAGCAAACACTTTACATACCAATAACAGGCCATCGTCAAGAACTGGCAGTTTAGTTTTGTGCCGGACACTGGGGCAACCTGCCCAGGTCTGGGCGTGCTATTTTAAAGGATGTTTTTGCGCAGAGGAGGATGGCCAAGGTGTGACAGGCATGAAAAGTGCGCCAAGTGAGGAATCTCTCAAAGGACTGGAAACATCGGCTGGAAGCAGGGTACCGGGGAGTCACCAAGTGGACGTGTGTGAAGGCTGCATGCTGGGGCTGGCGCTGGACGATGAGAATCCAGTCAGACCCCAACTCATAGCGGGAGAACTTCTGGTTGTTAGAGCCGCTCGACTCACGAGTAATAAACTCCCAGCTGCCAGAGGATCCCTGACCAGGGCGGACGCTGGGGCAGTGGGGTCCCCGTGACACGATGAAAGCTGCACCAAACAGCCTCTGGCTTTGCCACGCTAAGGTGCCGTGACTCCTCAGTGGGTTGAGAGTATCTTATCCCTTTAAACCTCTATTAAGAAGTCATTTCTCCTGTTAGCTTCTAAGAAAACAAGTCTCTCCCCTAAATCTAGCCACCGGGAATAATCAAATTCGCCACCATTTTCACAGCACAATGGGCTGTCATCTGCCATCTTCCTTGTCACAAGGTTGTAAGTGTCCTCAGATACTCTCCTTACTTCACGTCTTTCCAACCTGCTTCCACTCCCTCGTCCATCTCCCATCCATCTGCCCACCCCCTCATGCCTCCTTGCAATGACTTCACTTCTCATTAGGAGCAGCAGCCAGAGTGAAGAGAGGAAAATGAGGCCAAAGGGAGGTGAGGCAGGATGGGGTGTTCAGAGCCCGGACTTTCTTAGAAAATCACTGTGTGGGCAAACAAGTGGGCCATGAGAACGGGGTGCGATGTAGGCCATGGTCTGGCTTTTCAGGGAGGGGCTGGTGGTGCCACCACCAAGGCAATTCTCCTTGTCTCCAGAGTGCCTCAGGAGAAACGATTTTCTGTAACCTCCAAGACAACTGAGGTCGCGTGCTCTGTTCTAGCTTTCAGACCACAGGGTGAGGTGGGTGGAGGGGAGGCAGAAGGAAAATAAAAGGATGGAAAGGAAAGGAATAAATGAAGCCCTGGGGAGAGGCCTCGGCATGGGGAGGAGTAGGGTAACACCAGGCAGGGATGTTACTGGGTTGTTGACAGGAAAAACCACAGTAACACCAGGGGGCAGTTAGGGAAAAGTCAATTCCTGAGAGGTGGGGACTAGCAGAAACCCTCAATGCAGAGTCGCTGTCACCTTGGAATCCAGTGGACACACAGCTCCAGAGCCTGTCTGGTGGTTATTCCAACATGCTGCCATTTCTCTTGGCATCCCCGTCAGGATCCTGGAGTGGCCAGCATTAGACTTCCCTACGTCAGAGGGTCTGGGTCGGTGTAAAAGGCTGTGGGGCACTGGTCCAAATCCAACGTGGACAAGTAGCTGAGCAGTAGACGCTGGGGTCCATAGCTGACCTGGCGCACTCCCCAAGGCCTTCTCCAGACGGCTCGAATGGTCACAATCATGCTTCCGTTAAAACTGCCGTTAAACTCAGGGGCTGGGGATGTAGGAGGAACGGGGCATTGAGAGGGCAGAGAAAATGTACAGTGTGGAGGAGCTGACTGGAGGAGGGTCAGGGACAGGTGTCCTTCCACCGAACAGCCAGTTCTCTCGGCTGGAAGGCAGTGGCTGGAGGAGGGCTGGGCAGTGAATGCCGTCCTTTTCCCCCGAAAGCCGGAGCCCAGTCTACTTGGACAGTTTGCTGATGACTCTGATGAGGGCACCATTTTCATCTTTCAGCCTCTGGTTGTCGGATTTCAGTTCTGTTAACACCTATGGGGGGACAGAGGGAAAGGGGTGTCAGAGCCGCCCCGATCAGGCCCGGCCAGCCCCGTGCGCTGGGCCTTCTGAGGCAGCGTAGGCAGTGAATGGTCAGCACCCTGCACCCAGGCATGGCCGTCCCTTGAACCCTTCCATTTATTGGGCTGGTAACGTTACCATTTAGGGAGGCCATCGCCCCTCTCGCAGATTTAGCAAGAACATCTTATTTCTTTGTATGCAGGCCTTATGTTCCACACTGTATATCCTTTCATCCTTCTGAATCAGCAGTTATTTTCAATTACTCTGCCCTTGAACTCACCTCTAGTCTAGAGAGATGGGGCCACCGCCACAGTGAGCTGGTGGGGACACAGGGAAGGGACTCAGAAAGCAGTGGAAGACCGGAGGAAGACGCCGCTTCACACCGACCAACACAGGGGCGCGGGGGGGCAGGACCTGGCCTCCCTCACACCCACAAGACAACTCAAGGGTCCTCCTTCTGGTGCCTTCGGTGACCGAATCCACTAAAATTCTTGCCGGTCATGCTACATGTATCCAATTTCAACCACCAAAACCCAGGGAGCTGACGGATCTGGTCACCACAGAGAGCAGAGGGCCGTACTTAGTTCTCCCCCAAAGCTCCCCGTTGACGTTTCCCAGCGATTCCAGGAGGCTCGTCAGCAGGTTTAGGGGACGGGGTTGTAATTCCAGGGAACAGGCGCTTTAGGGCCGGGAGAGTGGGGACTTCAAGTGCATCAGTTCTACCATCCGGGAACATTACACCTCATGTCGTGCAACTTGTGCAACAGGGAAAAGCTCAGCCTGGCCCCGCCTGGACACCAAGCCTTCCTGTGTGGTCAGGCGCCTCCATGGGCACGTGTGCATCTGAACCCCAGTGAGGCTCTGCTAAGGGCACAGTGCGTGTGCTGTGAGCCCTGGGGGTGGCGAGAGAGTTGGGTTAGAGCATGCAAACAGCGGCCCCCCACGGGAAGGGTACAAACACAGACACCCACGCCTGTTCAGTGCAGAAGCCCTTGGACTGCCTGGTCATTCAAGCCTACAGGGCCTGTGGGGTGGGCTGTGTGCCCAGCTAAGGGTGGCCTGGCTCAGGTGTCGAGGCCTGTTTAGTCCTGGATCTGGCTCTGCTATTAACCCTTTAGGGGATCTAACTGTACCTGAAAGAAAAGAACTGTTTCCTCAATCTCTTATGCAAGATGTAGATTAAATTATGCAAATACATATGTGTATGCACACATCACATCACAGATGCATGAACACTGTATCCAGGGAACGAAAGGAGACATCGCTGGACATCTGCACTGTGGAAGCTGCGCTGGGGTCTCACTCCTGTCTCATCAGCGCCCCACAAGTCTGCGGGGCTCTCACCATTGTGTCCACAAACGAGGAAATGAAGACTCTCAGCACTGGTCCGAGGCCCCCAGCTGTTAAGCAGCTGCAGAGCTGAGGCTGAGCCCACGTGTGCCTGCCTCCAAAGATCCCTCCTTCAGCACAGAGGGACGTGGGGTGGAAACACCACCAGAGCCCAGAGGCTGAAATCCCAGCACTGTTGCCACCATTCATGATCTGTATTACTGTAGGCACACTACGCACCTCCTTTGGGTTTCCATATTTGCATCTAAAAAAGAAAAGTCCGGGGCTGGCTGCATGGCCAAGTGGCTAAGTTCGCGCGCTCTGTGTTGGTGGCCCAGGGTTTCGCCGGTTGGGATCCCGGGCGTGGACGCAGCATCGCTCATCAAGCCATGTGGAGGTGGCATCCCACAATAGCAGAACCAGAAAGACCTACAACTAGAATGTACAACTGTGTTCTGGGGGTCTTTGGGGAGGAGAAGGAAAAAAAAAAAGAAAAAACCCCTGCCCTCACCCGTCATACGGCAGGGGCTCTGCGGCCCACAAGAAGCGTGCTCACACACTGTGCTGCGGCACGCAGAATGCCCTCCAGCACCAGGAGGGTGGGAGGGCAGGCAGGTGATCTACGGATTTACCAAGAGGAGTTCAGTCCAGAAATAGCAAGATGAGGTCTCATCCTGTGAGCCTGCCTCTGCCTCCTCCAACCCCTCAGAGCGGCTCTGGCTGCTCTCCTCCCTGCGGCCTTGACTACCAGGACGGAGTGCTCAGAAACGCATTCCAAGATTTTTGGAAAAAGTCAGCCCACGATGTCTGCATCATGCCTCGCCTGCCCATCTGCTCTCCGTGCCCGTCCTGGGGCCTGCAGCCTGGCTATCAGCAAGGCTCTGAGAGCTGCACGTATTTCCATAACAGGATTCCACAGGCGGGGAAGAAGCTACATCTGGCAGTGGATTGCATTTCACTGCTGGCAGCTCATCAAATCAGATCTGAGCTGCCCCTTTTTTTTCAAATGTACAAACAACTCGTCGAGCCTTGGTGATTTATGTCCACATTAAGAACTCAATTCTTTGGGAAAAAAAAAATTGGACAAGGCAATTTCCCAGCTGCAACATGCTACAGCTGACATCTTAAGGGAGTGTCAGAAAGTACAAGAAACGGAACGGAGAAATCAAGGGGGAAAAAGCCTCATAAACTTGACTCTCAAAAGAGAGAGGAGGAAATGAACAGTGTTACCTGATATTCACTTCAAGTCAAAGAATGATTAAATAAGAACATAGGTGAAAGCACCATAAAGAAGGTTTGACAAACGCTTATCATTTCAACTCTTGGACATCAGCTTTCTTAATTTCTAAATTTCCAGTTTACCATGGTTTGATGTTGGGGTATCTTGGACAAATAAAGCTAATTACTGCATGTTTCCTCAAATGTTCCTTCTCCAGCCTGTGATGAGGAATGCGCTACAGAGGAAGGGCACGCAGGGTCCCGACGCTGCAGAGACCCAGGGCGAGGCCACCGCAGGGAGACAGGGACTATGGGCAGTCCCGCCTGAGTTGCCTGGCTTCTGACAGTCCGGGAGTGGGGACGGAGCCCCGCACCTGTCTGTTGGTAAGTGGTCTGACTAAACATGGAGATGAGATGGCTTTTCCAGCTGATTAGTAAAAAGCAAAAAAGGCAGGCAGACCCTCCTGCCTGCACTGTCGGCTCAGCCATGTAGTCCTCTCTCCTCTGGTGGGGTCGGCAGGCTCCTCCTGCAAAGGGCCAGAGTGAGCACCTTCGGGTTCCCAAGCCTCTGGTCTCAGCCCTGCTGCTGCGGCTCGAGGCGCCCGCAGACGACGACACGTAAACAAGAGCACGGCGCACATCCAACAAAACTTTATTTTTGGACACTGAAATTTGACTCCATATAATTTCCATGTTTCACAAAATATTACTCTTTTGATTTTTTTCCCAACTACTTGTATGGCTCATGGGCCACACATGGGCTGGTGGGCCACCGTTCGCTGACTGACCCGTTATGGAAGATCACGTGCCAGGCAGTGGTTTCTTTACGGGGCACAACCATGTGGCAGCTGAGTGGCCCTCGGGAGGCTAACCTTCCACAGGGCATCAGGGCGCTGAGAGCAGAAGGCTGCCCGTCACCTCAGCTGCAGCGCTGGGCGCACGTGGCTGTCCAGCAGACCGTCCTCACACTCCTGAGGCCACACGCCTCGCACGCTCTGAGGCTCTGAGCCACACACACAGACGGCTCCCACACTGGCTCAGCGCGTGGGCTCTGGACCCTGACATGTGCGGTCTGAATTCTGCTTCTACCAGCTAGCAGCTGAGTGACCTTGAGCGAGTTACTCTGTCTGTGATTTGGTTTTTTCATATGTAAAATGACTGTTGTGGGGAATAAATGAGAAAACGCACAGAAAGCCCTCAGCACAGGCTCTAACAAATGACCACTGCTACCACGGTTACTAACCCCTGAAAGCATCAGACCCACTTTTGCCCTGTATCCTATACTGTCTTACACAAAGAGGGAAACTAAAAATAACTGGGACACTTTTGGGGGTTCCTAGTTCACCCCAAGCCCAATTGTCCGGGAATCTTGAGGCTGATGTTAGAGCACAGAGTCTGGACCTCACGTGGCACTCCGGGAGCAGGGCAGCTGAGCTCCCGGAGCCCGGCTGTGGTAGCACTTCCCTTCCGATGTTCTTTCTGCGTGTGACAGCATCCTCAGCAGGACATTAGCTCAGCCCTCTGGTCATCTGGCACTTCAGACCTAGGGGGCGTTAGCTGCCAGCCACTAACCCTGAAGACATGAGCCAATAGGCAGAAACAAGACCAGGCCAGGTCAGGACTGCCCTGATTGTTGCTGGAAAAACCTCACGTCACAGAGAACTGCTCAGCAGTGGTGACCCCATCACATCATCTTTGGGTGAGAAAACAAGCTATCTGGGAGCCTGTCTTTCAGAGCTACGTCAAGGGAAAGGCTCCACTTTGCCAAACACATTTTTGGGTTCTCTGTTGAAAATCGGTCCCTGCTCTCTGCTCCAGGACCTGTCTTCTCCCTTGCAAAGCTGGAGCCACTGGGGAGGGGCCTACCTGGGTGAGGCCTCATTTACACGGGTTGCGCCCTGCCTCACAGCCCACACACTGGGGGTGGGGGCACAGCCCTAGGGCCCAGAGATTTGTGATAGGGGTGAGAGCAATGCCTCCCAAGGAGGGGAAGAAAGCAAAGACTACTGCAGAAAGGAGGCCGAGAGAACTTATCCAGTTCTAGTCAGCGGTGGACAGAGAATGCTCTTGCCGTAGTGGAGCTGGCCAGAACAGCACCAGCCTTCAGATCTGGTCCTCCCTGGCCAGCATGTCCTCAGATGTGGGTGTTAGTTCTGTCTGGTATCCAAAGGGCTGTGGCGCTCAACTCTGGTTTCACAAAAGAATCAACAGAGGAGCTTTGAAAAAATATTGATGCCTGGGTCTCAAGCCACCCACTGATTCTTTGGGGGTGGGCCCAGGCACTACGTTAAAAGCACTCAGGTGTTTTCATCATGCAGCCAGGGCTGAGCGCCCCTGCCCTCAGTGACCCCAGCCCCAATCACAATCTGGAGTCCAGGACCAATCCCAATGGCTCCAAGGACCAGGCTGCTCAGTTGCTGTTGACT